CCTGGGTTCAGGCAATTCTCCTGCCTCAGCCTCCTGAGTAGCTGGGATTACAGGCACGCACCACCATGCCCAGCTAATTTTTTGTATTTTTAGTAGAGACGGGGTTTCACCATGTTGACTAGGATGGTCTCGATCTCTTGACCTCGTGATCCACCCGCCTCGGCCTTCCAAAGTGCTGGGATTACAGGTTTGAGCTACCGCGCCCGGCCCACTGTATGTTTTAATATGCCTTCTCTTGTCCTTCCTGGAGCCTTGTCACCATCCACGCTGCCTTAGATAGAACATCCAGCAGAGAGAGACAGACACTGCCTCACCTTCAGATGCCAGAGCTAGAACGCAGTATTTCTTTTAGGCAGTGGTTGTGAGCGCTGATACACACTAGACTCACCTGAGAAACTTTTCAAATGTATCCACCCCTAGTCTCTGCTCCAGATAAATTAATCCAGAATCTTCAGCAGTGGGAGACAGGTGCTCTGCAGTTCCCCAGGTGATTCTATGGTGCAGTCAGCATTGTGAACAATTATCTTAACACCTAGGCCATCTGTACTCCACCCTCAGATTTAAATCCCACAAAACAGTGCCCTTCAGACTTTATGTGCACACAGATAAGCTTGGGATGCTGTCAAAGTGCAGATTCTGAGTCCACAAATCTGGGGTGGGACCTGAGGTTCTGCACTGATAACAAGCTCCCAGGTGATGCAGATGCTGCTGATCCTTGACGCACACTTAGAGTAACAAGACCACTAAAACAAGGACCAAACCCAAGTCATTGCTGCTTTTTACTTTACAATTCATATAATAGGGAAAATAAATATTATAATGAGACTGATAATAAAAACTTTCTTTGGATCCACAGTCGTCCTAAGACTAGCACCATATGTACACTCCAGTTTCAAGTGGCAACTTCTCTGGATTCATTTCCTACCCGTAGGAAGCTAAACAGAAAATAACATTAGTTCGGGTTTCAGCAGATGGATGGTTTTCAGACAGGAATACTCAGAATCGTTAGGCTAAACCCCGTGTCCAAGGGTCATAAAACCCCTACAGACTCGCCAGGCTTGGCAGTGGAATAACTTCCTACAACTGTTTTCAGATAGGAGCAACAACATTTTGGTGGAATGGCTGGGGATGTGCTGCCTAAGGAGAAGAAAGTGGGTTACATGGCCTCAGAATGGCCCTGCAGCCCTATGGGGCCATAACTCACCACTGCTCCAGTAACAGCCGGGGCCGGCTCTCCAGGCAAAATTTCCGTGTGTAACGGATGGGAGTCCATGAGATTCTAGTTTGAATCTCTCCCCTCCCACTGACCAGCTCTGTGACCTAGGACATGTTAGGCTGCTTCTCTTAAGCCTTAGATCCCTCGGGTCCTCTGCAAAACAGAAACACAAGTGGATGTTTAGATGAGGTTGTATGTAGAGTATTTAGTTAGCACAGTGACTGGCACATTAGCAGCACCGAATCTTAGCTGTTATTATTACAGGGCCTCCTACGTCTCTACATGAGATGAAAATACTAGCCTTGGTGTCACTCACAGCGAGAAGCCGAGCAGCTGCATTCAATACAGCACTGAGATCAAAAGTTCGGCTGCCCTCTGGGCTGCCTTTGCATTTACCCCGTGTGAAGGACAGCAATTGGTGCCCACAGAGAAATACAATAATAATCACACTGTATCTGCACACATGAAGAAAACAGATCAGGCTTGAAAGCAAAGGGCAGCAGATTTTCTCCCACTTCACGGAACGGGAAGTTAGACTTGTGACCAGAGCTACTTCCTTTTGAGGCCAGGGAAGAAAGAACTAGGGCCAGCTTGAGTTACTCTGTATACCCTCTACAGGAGCAGAGACTTAGTGTGGTGCTATTAGTGAGGTCTGCAAATGGCAGGGGAGAGGAGCCAGTGATGAAAAAGAGCCATAGGTTTTTAATATGGATGAGAAGCTGCCTGCTTTCTCCTAAGCAAATGAGGAAGGAGAGAAGGAAGGAACTCAAAACTATTTGCAGGTGGTCTCTGGGATAAAGGGATAGACAGAGGAGGTGATATTATTCTGAGCCTCGTTTCAAGACAGAACCTACCAGTATCAAGTCTGGCTGCTGGGAGACCATCTCTGACTTGTTTCAGCAAAGAGACAATAAAAATGTAAAAATAGCAGATAACCCTTGAAATTCCAGTGTCAGCCCCAAAGAACAGCTTCCAAAGATGAAGAGTGGGTGGACTTCCAGAGACACAGATTTAGATTTCTAACTTTAGCCTGAACTTTCTGAAGCTTCTCAGCGGTACCAGGAAAAAGATTTGGTGTGAAGGAGGCTAAGAATAGCAGCTCAAATCAGACTGTGGAATTAGATGAGTTTCAATCAGCCATGTGTCCCCCACAGTGTCTTTCCCTTCTCCCGGGCCTGGCTGGGACAGGGACACCCACAGAGCTGGAGGGTTGGAGTGGTAAGAGAACAATGACAATGAGAGCTGACATTTCCTGAATGATTAGGACTTGCAGGCCATATGCTAAGCACTCAATAGATGGGTTCATTTAGTACTTTCAATACTCCATTTTACAAATGGAAATATTTATACTTAGAAATATCAAGAAATGAATCCAAAGTCAAACAGCTCATTAAGTGGTGGAGCTGGAAAAAGAGCAATGAAGTGCTGGAAAATGGAAAGAAGTAGACCGAGCACCTTGGCAGGAAGAGGAGAGCGTCAGGCATTGGAAGGGCTAAATAATGGGTGACATGGACTGCTCTCCACCGCTGTTGGAAACCAGTGGAGATTTCTTAGACTACAGCAAAAGGAAAGGAATTCGGTTAGACAGTGAAGAAAAAAAAATCCTGGATTGTAACACTGTGACATAAGCATTCATTGTTAAGAGACAATGATTAACCTGCTGGGTTAATTTTTAAAAAGGGATGGGGAAAAGTGGTTTTGTGCTTCTCCAAGGGTCTTCTACAGAACACTAGTTCTTTAAGATATTAATAGGAATGATCAAATATACTCAGGAAATATTGTGCTAAATAGACTTACACAGGTTTCTTTAGTGAAGGAGCTCTAAGAGCTTTATTAGCTCAGTGTGTTTGGAAGCTCTAGTGGTAGAATATAATAAGTGGCGTTTCCTAAACTTATCTGACCAGAACCCTTTTTCAAACTAGTCTTTCCTCAAACATACTTGGGGAAAGCATGGGGTTTTCTAAGATGATTTAAGTATGAAACTTCCTGGAGGCTGGGACTGGCCTTACTACTCAAAATGAGTCAACCTAAGCAATGCTTAGGATGATACAAGTATCTGGCGCCTTGGTGCTCCTCCATGGGGCTTCTCTGCAAGGAGAGCTTGGACTTCTTCAAAGCACACATTCTCAGAGTACTGGACCACTTCCATGGCAGCTGGCTGCCAAGATGGAGAAAACAGATGCTGCCAGATTCTCAACCCCACTCCAGACCTACAGAATCAGACTCTGCCTCTTAACAGTATGCCCTGATGATTTATTATATGCAGATTAAAGCTTGAAAAGCTCAATTTCTTCAAGCCTCAGGATATGGTTACACACAATTCTGCAGCAACCAGATCTCTAACATTAGCTGTCTGCTATGTAACAAACCACCCGAAAATTTACTGTCTTGAAACACTAATGACTTATTTTTCATAATTTTGTAGGTTGACTTGGCTTAGTTGGTGGGTTCTTCTGCTTTCAGTAGGCTGAATTCATGGGGTGGACTGCCAAGGCTTCACTCTTGTATCTGGCACCTTGGTGCTCCTCCATGGGGCTTCTCTACAAGGAGAGCTTGAACTTCCTCAAAGCACAGCATTCTTAGAGAACTGGACTTCTTCCACGGCAGCTGGCTTCCAAGATGCAGAAAACAGATGCTGCCAATTCTATTAAGGCCTGGCTTGAAAGTCCTAGAACAGCACTGTTACTGCATTCTACTTATTGTCAAAACAAACCACAAGGCCAATTAGATTCGAGGAGAGGAAAAATGGTTTCTACCTCTTGACAGGTGAAGTGCCATGTATATACAAGGGAAGAAATTGGTGGCGGACATCTTTGGAGACTATCTACCATACTCTCTACCCCTCTTGAGTGATATTAGATGCTGTGCATGATCCCTTCTTAAACTCTAAGCACTTGAAAAATGCTTTAATATGTGTCCCAGACTGGCTTTTCCTCCCAGGCAAACAGGAAGTTCAACCCACTTTACAAAGGAAAGCTATGTCCTATTTAGGGAATGCCAGTGCCAGGGGTGTGGGAGATGGGTTAGGTCTCATTATTCATCAACACCAATTAAAACCATTCATTCTAAACCTACTATGTGCCAGGAACTTGGTTCTGCATATATAGCAGTGTATAGTATAAGATACAATTCTAAGACTACTTTCTCAATGATTTCCTAACCTTCTAGTGTGAGGAAACAAACACTAAACTAGTAAATCAATAAACAAACAGAATAATTTTGGAAAGCAAGAAGGCTATGAGGAAAATAAAAAGGATGATGTGATTGTGAGTGACTAAGTTAATTTCAGGTAGGAGGTCAAGGAATACCTCATGGAGGGAGTGTCATTAATTGAGACCTGAAGGATGAGGAGGCAGCTGCTGGAAAAGCTGAGATCAGAGTGGCAAAGTGCAAGTGCAAAGGCCCTGAGGCAGGGATGGGCTCCACATGTCTAAGGGGCAGAAAGAAGGTCATTGGGCCTGCTGCACAGATCCCAAGGGGCAGGGAGCCTGAGATGAGGCAGGAGGAGTGGGTGGGTGGGGGGGCACATGTTCACAGGCTGTGTAGGCAAGAGTGAGAGTAACACGTTACTTCCTGACTGCCACAGGAAACCACTGGACAGTTTAATGCAGGAGATGACACAGCTTGATTTGCACTTTTACAAGAAGACTCTGGCTACGTGAGAAGCAGATTATAGAGAGAGGGCCGGGCGCAGTGGCTCACACCTGTAATCCCAGCACTTTGGGAGGCTGAGGCGGGTGGATCACTTGAGGTCAGGAGATCAAGACCAGCCTGGCCAACATGGCAAAACCCCATTTCTACTAAAAAAAAAAAAAACAATAATTAGTTGGGTGTGGTGGTAGGCACCTATAATCCCAGCTACTCGGGGGGCTGAGGCATGAAAATTTCTTCAAGGAGGTAGAGGTTGCAGTGAGCTGAGATTGCACCACTGCACTCCAGCCTGGGTGACACAGTGAGACTCCGTCTCAAAAAAAAAAAAAAAAAAAAAAAAAAAAAAAAAAAAAAAAAAAAAAAAAGAAAAAAGAAAAAAAGAAAAAGAAAAATTCTACAGAGAGAAGAGCAGAAGCAGGGAGACCTGCTTAATTAGCTGAGCTCAGTTAGGAGGCGAATGCAACATTCTGTGTAGGAGGAAATGGCAGCTTGCAATGAGGTGGGGCTCTGGATGCTGACAAGCCAGGTGCAGTATTCCTGTCCTCGCCAACCCCCTACCATCAGGGCAATGCAATCAGACATCATCACAGACCCTGTGGTTCCACGTGAAGAAATGTATGTCTTGCTTAGGACTTCACAGGGTAGAACGTTGCTCCAAGTCTCTTATCTTTAAAAAAAAATTTTTTTTTTAATTTTTTTAAAATGGAACCTGCTCCGTTTCCAACCTGGGCTGGTTCACCCCTCCTTAGACAACCTGGTGGTCCCCCGCTCCCAAGAGGTCACCGTATTGATGCTGAACTTAGTGTGGATACCCGATCGGCATAGCACATACAGCCCAGATTTCCTGGGCTTAAGCGATCCTCCCACCTCAGCCTCCTGAGTAGCTGGGACTGCAGGCATGCATCACCGCACCTGGAAAAATTTTATTGGGTTTAGATGATGAGGGTTAGAATAAAATTTTCCTACATATCCTCTTGTATCTGGAAACATGTAACCATGAGACACTTTATTTCCTTCCTTAATCTTCCAGGGTTCTGACCCCAAACCCAGATTGGTCCTAATTAGGCCTGGTCTGCCTCTACCACAGCAGAAGGTGGGTATAATACCACAGTGAACGCCAGCAGCAATTTGCCACACAGCTGGTTAATATTCACAAACCACCTTTGTTCATGTTTCAGATATTTTGGCGAGGTCATCCATTGCCTCTCTCCTTCAGAGATGAAGTGGAAGGAGGCTGCTCTATGATTCCTTTCTTCCCACTTGAACCCAGAGTGTCCACAGATGCCATAAGCTGGTGGCCACTCCAATCTCACAGGTACCCTTGAGCTGGGACAGCACAAAGTGACAAAGTTTGTGTCTATTATTTCCATGATATTACCATATTTTTAAATCTTTACATGTTGCTGCTTCACTTTTTGCAAGCCATGGGCATGATATATAACGTGTTCAATTTTTTGAGATCATTTCAATTTTTACATTCAATGTATATCATTTTTATTTAT